TGAATCCTTCTTGATTTGTATCTTCTTCGTCTGAGTGTTGAGTTTGTTTCCGTTTCATTTATAGTTAGTATATCGACATTCATGGTTTTGGTTGTGTTAATTTGTTTAATGCTATCTGAACTTTGTGCTTTCGGTTTCTCTACAGGGTTCACGAGCTCTACATCAGTACGAGCTATTTCTTCCGTTTCTGTATCATTATCTGAGCTTTCTGCTGAATCGTTTAGTTTGCATTTTCTTCTTCGTGCTTTTCTTCTTACAACTGCACCTTGTTGTTCTACTGTGTCAAGTTTTTTGTTGTTTCTTTTTTTTTTGCTTCTGGACATAGAATATTGATTGGGCTTAAAAGTGGTCCCTCTAATACTAGGTTAACTAAAGTGTCACCTAATAAACTAGACTTACTCTTTTTTTGTTGTTTCTGGTGCCTTAGTTTCTATTTGTTGGTCTTGATTCGTTGCCATTTTCTAATTAGCGTGGTGAAGTAGCACTTCAGGAAATGCCGTTTCACGCTCTCCCATGCGGTCCTTCTTTATTGGGTAGGTTAAGCTTGTAGTTCTCTACAAGTCGTACAATGCGGTGATGTTATGTAGTAGTTTTGTCTATTGTTCATCACAGGGTTTGGCTGGTGAGAAAATCGCATGGGTGGTGGTCTCTGTTTCGCCGGCAAAGATCGGTGTGTGAGCCTAATAAATAAATAAGGGGAAGGTAGGTGGTCGTCGGTGTATCTGACGGCATTTCGACGTTCTTTGCAAACACGTTTACTCTCTACCATTAAACAAACCGATCTCCACCTTTGTACTTAATACAAGATTTGGTTTGTATTGAATTTCGCGCAAAGCTATACGAGGGTTATCTGCGCTGGCTATCCTTACTTTAGCAGTTAAAGACCAGAGGGAAGGCACCTAGTCATAACCACCTACCGCTAACTCATGGGCTACTCTTGTACCAACGAATAGTGGGATTGATCGTACCATTATAACGCCCCAATGGCTGAAAGGGCGAGTATGTTTGGTAGGATGGGGAATCGAACCCGTGACCCTCAGATTGCGAGTCCATGGGAACAAATAAAATCATACTACAAAATAAAACTTACAACTGATAATTATGCTATTCTGCAGTTTCAAGAAATATTAGTGAGCAACTTTATTTTCAACCATAATTCTAGGTGAATGTCAAGGCCACTACCAGTTCTTTGTTTTAATATGTATATATATATAAACCCTGCCACAAAACATCTTAGTCTGTACCAGATGATGCCTTTACTGGTGAAACAATGGTCCTTATAAATGATGTATTTGTGAAAAATACAATTCTCTTGTTTTTCCTCAATTCTCTGAATAAAATCCAATTTTCTGTTTTGGTAATTCATCATTATAATTTATCTAAGTAGGTTTCATTGAATTAGTTATCCAACAAGCAATACAGTAGTTTTTGTTTCAACCCCACCTATTAATAGGTTCTATTGTTTCTGAAATTCGCACAAAGCTACACCAGGGATATCTATGCTAGCCATCTCTGATTTTCAACTAGTAGACTAGAGTAAAGGCAGCAAGTCAACAGGACCCACCACCAACTCTTAGGCTCCTCTAATCGAGTAGTGGAATTTTACAGTCATTCAAATGAGAAGCATGATTTTGTGGCAATGGGATATGAACCACAGCCCAACACACTAACCACTGGCCAGGCTCAATCCCAACAATATAGATTTGCACCATTGTCATAGGATGCTGATGAACCTATTTTGTCTACAATATGCTAATAACAGTTATATAGCATAGATTTTTATCATCATTAGTTTGCCAGGACTATTTTAATTTCAAAATTCACAAGTTGGTATGTCACAATGACACAAATGGTGTACTTGTAGTGATTGGCATACAACTTGAGATACCTTTGGTGCTGTTTTAAGAGTTTGATTTATTTTAACTTTACGTCAACTGTGATAAACGATACATGATTCACTTCTGGTATCACAGCTTACCTTACAATATACATCTGTACAAGTTCAAATAATTCACTACGAGGACTTTATCGCATTTCAGTAGAATGATTAGTTCTATCAGTCCATCATAACCAGCTTTTCTTGTGCTATAGATAGGTAAGCAAGTAATAACACTCACCACAGATCCATGTATAAATAACTATAGATTGTATCTCCATAAATCAAACACTTACAAAATACCATGGCTCCTTCTAATACTTTGCTAGAAGCCAAGTCCTTATATCAAAGTTATTTTTAGAACTGCATTTATTATACATAGATTCTACTCAATCCCCAAAATAACTAGTCTCAAAATATTTACTTTTACTGCATAAAAAACGTTAACAACAAGAGTCACATTTTTTTGGTTGGAAAACAAAACAAGTAGTGGTTTTATAAATAATCTACAGTATCAAAAATTCTGTTATTTTTTTTTAATCTCACAAATAATGGCAAAACTAAATTTTACACATAATATTGAATTGTTACAAACTTTTTACTTTAATTTAGATAACAAGAGAAAATGGGTGAAAAGTTTTATTTTTTAGAAAACAAAAAAAAATGGATGGATTACAGTTTGATATGTATAACTCAATAAGGAAAAAATGCATAAATAGTTAAATACGTGGGTTTTTTTTGCAGGTTTCATATCTGTATGTTAATTTGAAAAATTAACTAATATACAGGAAGCATCATAAACCAATTATAGTAGGTTGCCTTCTAAAGTTCTTCACCTTTTTTTTATATCAAAGGTAGAATTTTCAAAATGAAATACACCATTAACTTTCATAGGTTAGAATACATTTCTATATTATATAATGAGAGTTAAATAACTTATAAATTTAATAAGAAAAAATTCCCAACCTTTTGATATCTACGCTATATGACAGAAGAGGAAGTATTCAATATGTCACTATTAATGGCATTTAACACAAGTTTTGAATATTTCTACTTCATGGCCATTGTTAGTATAACATAAAATAGAAACTTTACAATAAGAGATCAATGCATAACAGACCTACTGTCTTAAACTATTACTTTCTCAGTAAACCTCTAATTACTAGATTTGTCTTTACTTGACTGATGAGGTAATCTATAATAATTACAGGATTAAAGCTGGGTAGAATAAAATGCTAACTTTTTGAATTCAGTCAATGTAGACTTGTAAACAGGAATGAATTTGTTTGGCAATATAAGTTTCAAAATAGTTTCTATGATTTTATATTTACTCAAGAATAAGTAAAAATAAAAATTACTAGATGAAAACACTATACATATAGGATAACTTTATTAACTCTTACTCTTGATGAACTTGGCTAATATTTACAATACTATCTTGAACCTACTACAAAAATGTTATGTTTTATGATTACAGTTTCAAAAGTCTGGTATGAAAAAGCATATGCATAATTTAAAAACACTAAAAGAAAGCATTTCATGATAAGACTTGTTTTCTTTTTGTCATTCTATGGGCAAATTCTGTCAAATATACATCAAACTTTTAAAGGAAAGAAAACAGCTTGAACTGTTTACTTTGATAACAAGGTTAACATGGAGAATCCTTATGTCAAACTGTTTAGCCCTCTCTATTATACAGTTTCTGACATTATTTCAAAACGTTATGTAAGAAAAGTTTTCCAAAATTCAAAAAAGGCAATCAGAACTACTAAATGATTTTCTTTCTGATTCATGAGGCTTCTGTAGCAATTTCAGACCTTGAAATGTCCACAGTTGATGAAGCAGGTCAGATAGTTTATAGGACCTAAACTACATATATACTGTTGAAGAAGTCTCAACTAGAAGCATTTTACTATTTTATGTCAGATCTCTCAACTGATATAGCTCTTACATATCCTAAGTCTCTTTTTCTTTTTGCTTGTACTAGTCAAATGGTAAACATCACTCACATATTATTGCTAGTAGCCAGGCAGAAGTCCAGAGCTTGTAGGAAAGCTTAATCTCTTGAAATTTTATTTGCCTGTTCTAGAGGACTTTACTTCTAGAAGCTGAGGATAATTTTCTACAATATTTAACAATATTCCATCAATGTAATTTCGCAACTTTGCATTTACTTCTTGCTGTTCCTTTAACGCTTCCATGACCTATGTTGGTAAAAATAACAGGTTAATTATTTTTCATGAAACCACATTTATCTTCATATCAATAACAGTATATAAACTAGTGTTTAGTATAGTGTGTACTTTTCAATGGTCTTGGTATTCATTGGATTAATAAAACTATATTAATACTGATATTCACAGAACTCATGAGAGACCACTAGTTGCAATCTTTTAATTGTATAATTTATACAAATCCTATTTTTCAGAATCCTATACACTTAATTTTATGCCAACACTGAAAAGTTACTCACTGCAGGTATAAATGAAAGCTACTAACTGCAGCTGAAATAATATATATGTACATTAACTTTATATGAAACAGCATTCATGATATTCAAGAGTTTTATTGTAAATTTTACACTTGACTATATATTCCAGGGTCACTGTAATATTTGAAAGATAAGAATAGTTACAATAACTATATGAGCAAGAAAATATTGCCAATACTCTAGAGAAATGGTAGTGTATTACCTGAATTTTTAATGTTTTCCTTTGGGGGGGGGGGAGGAATAAATATTAAACAAAAAAAAGAAGCAGAAAATCCACTTATTAAACAGATTACCTGATCTTTTGAAAGATTTTCAAACTCCTCTGCCAGTGATGTTGTTTCTCGGGTTAGAAGGTTCCGACCTTCAAGAACACTATTATTTAGCAGCTGAGCTTGAAGCTCTTCATTGGCTTCTCTTAAACATCTATTTTCCTGGAAAAAAGAAGAACCATATGACAGTACCAAATATATAGGCCATCAAATTGTTCTGTAATATCAACGCTGACTAACTGACGACTGATTTAGTACAAAATTAAATATTTTATTTGATGTAGAAGTATATTGTATCCGATAGAAAGAAAAATACTTGTCTTACATAATGCTTACTTTTGAAACATACTTCTATCAAGAAGAATCAAATGAAAAGAAATAAATAGTAGAATAAGGCAAAAAACTAATTTTACAGTAATTCATATTTCTAACTTTGTATTTTGCCACGTTATAGGAAGAGAAACATGTACTGTTAAAACACAATAGACATCTTCAAAATTGTAAATAAAAAATAAACAGAAAATTAAACTACTGTGAAACACTGAGAAATAAAACTTTTAGCACACTTTAATAGCAGAATGATATGCCCTTGATGTGGTAAAAATATTGATTAAGTGATGAAAAGATGCAACTGCTGAAAGTACCAGTTGACTGCTAGTTATAGAGGGGCATAGATAAAAATATTAAGGAAATCATTTGATTTAATGGGTAAAAAAAAAAAAAAAAGTACCTAATTTCATTCATAGGAAGTTCCAGAATAGCTAAGACCTACAAGGGTAGAAGATGATTATTTAAAGTGATTTCAGAGACTGTGTTGACTATACCATAATAACACACACGTTACATAAACATCTTGTAAGCAGTTTGTAAAAACATAAGATCATTTTTTAATCCACTGAGGAGGATTAAGATGTATAAACCAAATCATTTATCAAGCCCATGAAGAGAATGAGAACATACAATTGCATAGACATGCTGCTGCTGTGTACATATATTCTTCTTGGGTGTTTTTTTAAATGTATTATCTGATTTAGATTTAAGATCTATAATTAATTTTTTTGGATTTCTTATGATTGAAATAGATAATGCATGTGTGTGTGGGGGGGGGGGTACTATCATCCCCACAATAAGCTGCAGATGGTGAATGGTAGATCAGATTGGGGTACTGTGTGTTTAAACAACAATGTTCTACATCTTTTTAATTATTATTGTTCTTCAGGCCATTGCACATTTCATGTAAGAGTTGCAAGTTCATTGAACAAATGAGAGATTCCCAATACCTTTTTGTTTCTGTTTCCACACTTATTCTTCTCCACATTTAAATCTTTTGAAACTGTTCTGCAATAGGTATAATTTTTTTATTTTCCTTTTTTTGTCCTGTACAACTAGAATGCATTTATGTTTGACAGTAATATATAGTTTTTGACCAAGATTTGTCTTTACTAAATTCTTTTCAATATGAAAAATATAGTCTTACTTCACGTAAATTATGCACTTGACACTCAAGCTCTTGATACCGAGCTGGAAGATCTAGCAAACTAGGACTACGAGATCGTCTAATGTTTTCAGTTTCCTGGTGGTATCTTCTTAGATCATCCAACTCTTGATTGAGGTCTTTAAGCAACTGAAATAAAGCACATTATGTTGACTAAATAAAACAAAAGGTTTGCCTTATGTTTCAACTCAACTGAGAGAATAACTATTTTTGTTCAATATAACTTATAAATGGGGAACATAATCTGCTTCTATTAAAGTAAGTTAGAATTTCACGTTTTGATAATGTTTCTACCACAAAATCCTAATGTCATATCACATTAAATTTTCTCATGTAGTCATGTAATGTGTTGAGATTATCATACCAAATGTGAGTGTTACAACAGCAGTTAATGTTGTAAAAAAGGGTAGATTCTGACCATTGAAGGTTTGGAACACATTATCAAACAAAGGTATAGATGTTTGCTAGTTTTAATTTGCATAATTTACTGACGACATCACCATAACTACTAGTTATATTTGATCAAAAACCCTTTAATTTTACCAGTAATACATAGGAATGAAATAAAACATTTACATATTGTTTAAAAATATATGTTGTACAGAACACAAATCATATTCTAATATTTTATGTAAATGCACATACTTGATACTACACATGTTTTATTCATATAGCTACAGACAGTAAGCTTGCATTGCAAGAACACACTATTGCAGCTAATTAAAAGAACTGTGCACTTGGCTCAAGCAAAACAAGTCATTATTTAACAGTCCACATTCCAAGCAGGTTAAAAGCCATAGTATTTTTAACATAAAATTGTTGATCAATTAAACATACTTAATAAAAAACAATAATAATAAATAAACAGTATGCAGTTACAACAGTTCAATTAAAAAGTAAATATGTAACTTCAATAAAAGTCTGCATCACATTTGAACTATTAAGTAGAAGGCCAAAGCAGACAGCTAAAACAATTGAAAAAAACAAAACAAAACCATGCAACATGGTTGAACTAGTTTTGATAGGTAAGAATTAAGACCTCATGAAATGCAAATTAACTTCAGAAGTTGAAACTTTAAAGAACTCAAAACTACCACTCAAAGTTCAGTTGTTACATTATAAAGAACTTCACTCGCAATACATAATTTATGAAAGTTTCATCAAATCTAAAAACTTAAATAACTGTACAAAAATTGAAGTAAATCATCAAAAGCATTTATTAAAAATTCGAAGTTATAAACTTGTTTAAATATTTTACTGCTATCTAACTCTTAAGAATTATGATTGTGAAAGTAAAGAAGAATATGCACTAATATATATGAACCACACTGTATTATTAGCCATATCCACTTCCAATGAGGCCTTTCATCCCAAAATAAGGTTAATTTGGCTTGTTGGGATACGACAAACATAGTAATAGTCTATGAATTAGGATTTAATTGGGTCATCAACTACATGAACATCAAATGTTATAATCTGAACTAGATCAAATACGTGAAGTGTAATTATTATCAATTTTATTTAAGTCATTTACTAATTAAAATTATGCTAAGAATTAATAATAACATTATTTATTTATTTATTCTTAATTTTTAATCCTAATTATTCATTTCTTACTATTATTACAGTAGGTGTTGTGTGATTTATAATTTCATCCAAATATTACAATGTTTGTGTTGTGTAATTTGTTTGGGTTACAAAATCCTGGCATGATACTAGAGTATCAAATGTATTAACATGGTGCTGAAGTTAAAGTTATATCCTAACTGTAGTGTTTTATGTTCAACGTACTTTGTTTTTAAGCAAGATATACCTGTGCATTAGCTTTTCTCTCATTTGTAAACTCCTCTCGTTCTCTTCGGGATAACTCCTGTAGTTTGTGTTGTTCTTCCTGTAGGCTACACAGTTCTGAGGAAGTGTCTGCTAGCTGCTCTTGTAGATTTGCTTTTTCCTGTAATAACAGAATAATATAATCAGAAAAAATTTGGTCTTAAAAATTAGCCCTAAGCACATTAGAATAAATCTTAATTATAGACTCATTAGAATAAAAGACAAGTAGAAGTAAAATGTATTGTGATTTAAAGTTTGGAGAAGATGGCTAAGAAAACAAAATTTTTTGTAACTTAAAGATTACAGATTATAGTCGTCAATTCTTGATCTGCAGTTCTGTGCTCTAAACAATTTCTGATTTTCATGCAACGATAATTTGTTATAATTTAGGGAATGAATTGAAAGTAAGTTTTCCTTACCTGTTTTAACTTTTCCACTTGTTGCTTGAACCTAAAAACTTCTTCCTTAATCTCAAAGTGTTCCTGTTGTAGACTATACAACCTGAAGGTATAATAAGTTTACTTAAGAACTTTTATTTATTTCTGTTAATTCATTTATACCTTATTCTATGTGTATGTTATATATTTTGAGAAAAAAATGCTTTTATATATATATCTTCATATCCAAATTTTCTTGCTTTAGACATGGAAACCAAAATGTTAAGTGCTAAGAATTTTCAGGCAGTACATATTCATAGTGTTATTATTTGAAAGTCTTACTACATGACACACACACATCTAGGCTAAATTTTCATTAACTAAAAGAGCAAAGTTTGCAAACTAAATTTAATACTACATAATAATTTAATCCAAAGAATAAATCAAGCTAATAAATATTTATTTTGGACTGTCTAACAAAGTTTATAGTCAGTTTTCTTCATGTTGTGTAGCATATTTACAACTGTGTACTGCAAACATACCGTTCAGCAGGTTGTTTATTTTTTGTTTGTTTGTTTCAAAAAGACGATAACTTGTTACAGTAAGGTTAAATCTTTCTACTGTTAAAGCAATGCTAAAAAAAAAGCATTTTGAACACACGATACAAGTTAGTAAACAGGATTTAAATAACAAACTCTTGAAATAATGAAAATGTTTTCTTTAATGATATTAGAAAAATTTTAAAAACCACATAGATTTAAAACTGAAGAAACTTTAGAAATGGACTGACAGAATTATACAGACTGTAATCACTGAAAACACAGCTGTTATTTTCAAAGGCAGTGGAACCAGAGGAGAGGGAGGGGCAATGAAGAAACATGTACCCAAACTTTGGACATGGTAACAAAGTAGCCCTTAACAGGGAATAGGGCTTCATGTATAATTATCAAAGAAAGTCACTGTTTCCATTTTGAATTCAATGGTCACAATTAACAAAGCAAATAAGGTGCCCTTAATCATTGATGCCCCCACAGATTCACTTTGTTCTGCCACTACACGTTTTGAGAATAGTAACATAATAATTTATTTTATGATTCACTAAATATAGTAATGCATTTGCTAAAGTTTCATTCTATACCTATTCTTATCCAAAAGTTAAAACGTAATTATTTTGATAACTTAAGGGTACAAGTTATCTTACCTAATAAAATGTGTCAAAACAAAGATCTTATTCATTTATATATTCATGTGTGGAAACAAATACAAACTAGCAGTTAATTATTTCTTTTTCAATTGTTTTTCAATAATAGATGAATGTTATACCTGTTGGTGTAGTGTTCTATTTCCATGGCTTTATCTCTCTCCTGTTTAGTCTGTAATAAAGAAAACTAAACATGATTAGAAGATTTATACATAGGAAGATAAGAACTGATTAATAAAGATCATAGATCCAATTATTGTTTCAATAACTTTAAACAATAGAAATATGCCACTAAAGTCACATTGAATCATTGTTCTACTTGTGTGCTCTAGCACTTATATAAAAGTACTTCTTATGGAAAATACAGCAATACCATTGAAAATTAGAAAGAAAAGATGCAACTCTGCAGATTAAAATAACAATTACTTTTCCCATTTTATAGTAATTTAGAAAAAATACAGCTGAATATCAGTTTAACTGGGCCAATCACAACATAGTGGTTAGTATTCTGAACAGGGGTGTAATGCTGCCGAAGTGCACAGGAGTGAAGCTAAGGTCCAGATATTTCAGAAACTAAAAATATGTATATAAAAAATAAGTTCTTCATTTAAGTTCAGAATTAAAGGCCTTTCATATCCAGAGTGTCAGAGAACACTCCGGCTGTTTGTGATCCCCCCCATGTGCACTGCTAGAGCTCTCTCAGACTGTCCAGCACACACTCTGTCACTCTCCCTAGGAACTGGTGTCAAACACTATGCAACCTTTTTTGTTCAGGAGCAGGAGTGAGAGCATTAAAACATTGAAATTTGTTTTGTCTTTCGTCACATGGTTATTAAGACACACGATTATGGTATTAAAACACTTAATAAAATACATTTTACAACTATGCTGTTTATTTATAACATACAAATTTCTTAAAAGGCTCATTATTTAGATAATATATAACAAAGGTTGATTTCTTTAGTTATTCATGTTGGCAGCAAAATCAAAGTTATAACACTATTTACAGTCTATTGTTGCTAAACCCAAAGCTGAAGAAGACAAATATTTGTATATATGGTACCAAGTTGTTGTTGTTTTTCTTACTACTTAATTTCAAGAATTTTGAGTTGTGTATTTTCTCCCAGTATTATATGCATATTCAGTTTATTACAAACATATGTACTCTCAAATAATTAGTGCTGACTACATTTTCTTTAATTAAAATGGAAATTAAGTTTTCAGTATGGAAACCTACACAAGGGCTATGTGTGCTAGCCATCTCTAATTTTGAACTAATAGACTAGAGAGAAGGCTACTCTTGACTACAATAATCAGTTAGTGGGATTTGTCCATCACTCTTATAACGTGCCCAAAGTGGAATGAAAAGCAGACCCTCAAATTAACAATTCATCACCAGTGATGTAGTGCTAAATATTATAATGCCAGAGTCCTGCCAAATTTTCTCAGACATGTGACATCACCATAGGGTAAAGATTTCCAAATATCCAACAACATAAAAAAAGGTAAGAAGCTGTGTGGAGAAAAATCCATTTGCAATAATTTATAAGCAACTTTTACATAAATATGTTACCATTCCAAATAGTAAAATCTTACCAAACTTTCTTTTAAATGCCTTTCTTCTTGTTTTATCCTTTCTTCTGATCTAATTTCTAGTTCCCTTATGAGTTCTTCTAAAGAATGGATCCTGAAAGAATCAAGATTTATGTTTGAATATTTCCACATAGATATGCATATTATTGATGTCATTCCATTTCACAGTTATAAAGTTTATTTTAAATTGATAAGAGTTGAAGTTACAAAACAGGAGCCCCTTTTTAAAAAGTTTCACATCACTGAAATTTAAATAACTGATACAGAGAAGACTGTTTAGGGTAAAAAAAAAACAAATAATAATAATAATGAATAAAACATAGCAAGAGAAAGTACTGATCTGTCATAATAAATATTCATTTCAAAAACAGTTCATCACATAATTTGTTTAATTGGGTTATATTGCACATTCCAAAGGTTGTTTTTACTTTAGCTTATAATAACTATACAAAATCATACACAAAATTGGGTGGATTTAGAAGTGATCATTATTATTGATCTATAAGTATTTTTTCTTTCTGCCTAAGAATTAAAAACAAATTAATCCACACAATTTGCTCATGTACCCTACAATGTTGCATAATCCATACACAATATTTCATGGTTGATGACTGCATACTTATGTAAAAGCAACAGCCATACCAGAATGTCAAAAATAATGACAGTAGGTCAGAATTCCCAAGCAAATATAGCCAAAAAACACTGTTGGTTAAATTCAATTTCAAATTCAGTACTTCAAATTGTACACTGGAAAGTATGAAAAGACACAAGTATTTTATACAGTATCTACATTCAATTACCGGTATTCCTGAATTAAGAACAATTCTTACAAGCTCAAAAATATTTTCCAAATCTGAATTTGTTTCCAGTAAAATCAGTAGTTCAAAACACCCATGCTAAATTAAGCCATATAAAGTAGTTTAGCCTTTCAGTACATAATTTGAAATACTGATTTGATTGTTCCATTCATGTGAACTAAGTAATATGCACTCTTTCTTCCCACCAAATAAAATCCTTTATGATGTAACCACATGTTAAACAATAACACTTACTTTACTGTTAAAAATGTTCTTGGTTCATTAGTAACTAATAAGTCTGAAGAAAAAGAAAATGAGTAATTATAACTATTCACTGTGCCACATTCCTTCAAGTAGCCAAACTCATATACAGACAAATTGAAGCCTCTAAATAACTATTGGTCTTTGTGTATTATAAATATTTGATGATATACAGAGCAAACAAACATAAGGAAAAAAAGTCTTTGCAGTGGTACCTGGCCAAAAATAATAATTTTATCATGCCAAGAAAGGATTTCAGGAACCATTCCTGAAGCACTAACAAAAATGAATAAGAACATACACAACAAAATGCCTTTGAGCAACAGGTTTGACACCTAAATTCTGGATTTTCTAATTATTGGATAGTAACGATAGCTATTTATTAGCTCAAAAAAGATAAAATGATTCTTGTAGTTGACAAAGATGTCAGTGTCCACAACAACAACAAAAAAAACATGTGAATTTTTCAGTTAACAAAAGGCTACATACAAAGCAAGTACTTATTTCAAAATGTTGTAACACTTCCTGAAATGAAACTCGTTTTACCAATCCTAAAATACCAGTTTGGTTATTCACCAATTTTAAATAACAGGAAATTGCACTGTCCTCTTTTATGCTCCACAGGACAAATATGATGATGTAGTTAACATCAGTTAAGTTGTAGGGAGAAAAATAATTCAGTTCTATCTCTTTTTTTTCACACTTTCTGCTTAGTTTATAATTGTGTAAAAATTACTCTTAACATGTGTTGTTAAAAGGTGGAGCGATTCAACTGAAACATCATCATTCTATGATTATGAACAAGAATCTCACCAACTTCCAGTTTAAATAGTTTGCATAAAATATTTGAACTAAGGTGGAGACTAATTTTAACAAGAGCTGGTTCATTCATATTATGTATAAAGCCTTAGCTAACAGAGCACATCTACTATATATCATGTTCGGCCAGCTGACACACCTAAAGCATTCTACACCCCCATACTTGTTGTCTCATAAATGACCGATATAAATAGCATTTCCACTAGAACTTTTATGTTGTGGCCCAGCTAAAGACCCTATCGACAATGGTGTACAAAACACAATATCTAGTTAAAATTCTATTATACTCTTTTAATTTTTCGAAACCCATATCACGGTAGTGAAAAATGATTTAAACTAGTATCTGTTTCATTGTGATGTAACAAATACTTTTATTTGTTGCCTTTAAAATTTATGTCATGCTGTGTTGCACCCTAGAAAATGCAAAATTATTTTCCTGATTCATGGCATGTGCTGTTTTATTGACATCACAACAGTACAAGTTGCAAAGTCAACAGTTCCTTTTGTCACGTCATTTTAGTGTCTACTGGCTGACAGACAACACACTACTGTATAGTGGTGCGATTTGTTAAAACAGGTGACCCCTCCAGGCGGCTTTCGGAGAAATAATACCAACTGATAGGTCAAATTTATATAACGTAAGCTTGAATAACACATGGACTATGGACAATTTATAGCATTATGTACGTTCAAAAGATCTTGGAAAGTAAATCTTTATAAGTTAGGCTGTGTAAAGTTCAACAAAAGATGCACAAACCCAAATCAATGTATTGGTTAATCAATTAAAAAAAACTACCTGGGATAAATACAGTATTGCTTCAACTACCAGTGAGTATCACTTAAGTCATTGATATGAAAATAACGCAAGTTAAATTTTTTTACGACTGATAGTCATGTTTAAATGAGATATGCTGAATCAAGTTAGTTCCAGCTATATTGTACATCATCCTTTACCTTTAAACACATTTTTTAATAACCAAAAGGAGCATGAAATACGGCAATAACAGTTGTAGTAGGTAAGAATTAAGATTTCATGACATACAAATTAACTTCAGAAGTGGAAAGCTTAAAAAACTCTCAACCACCCAACAGTTTTACTATTTTTTCCCGTTTTCGTCATTTGAAGCTGAATAAACAAACATTCCTGTAAGTGTTATTAGTTACCACTGGTTAAATCACCCACTTGCTATTCTATTATTTAATATAAGTAATTTTATAAAATTTTTGGGCGCTAACGGCTTTACCTTGAACTTCAAGTTGAAGTTCAACAATGTGGCATAACATCACAGTGTCTCAAACGTGCAAACTACTAATTAATTTATTATTCTGACTATTCCCTCGTCTTCTATTTGTAATTCTGTACTTCTAACATCAATTCACATTACTTGTGTAATTATGTAATATAAACCAATGGTTTTCAATATTTTTCAGTAATGCACCCTTAATTAGTTATCAACATTATCATGTACCCTCACAGTGGTGCCATCAGCGTTTGATTGAGCTGCGCTGACGTATAGCTACTATTCCGAACCGCCGCCTTCTACCCCCTCGAAGTAATTTTGTATCCCCAGTTGAGAACCGCTGACATAAACCACCTAAAGACATTATAGTTATAACAATGACCTATCTAAACATGAGCTAAATATTTTGATAATACCCGGGGTGCCACCTGCATTTCCCCTTGTTGTGGTTAACCAACTTCGCGTTCACCTTTTCTTTTTTTTTTAGGTAGTGATTCACAAAACAATGGCGCAATATAACGTGTACTAAAAATGGTAAAACGCACTGATTGTTGTTCTTCATAATTCAATAGAAATGATACTTACTGACTGCGGTGAAAAGATAACGTGAATCGACCTCTCGTGTGCTTTGAAATCCAATATATAAACCAGTATATACTAAGAACTGTTGAGCAGTATAAGAATCAAACATTGAATGTAGTCAATAACACACGAAACAACAACGGGAATAAAAGAGCTTGTGCGGTGATGTTTGGCCACAAATCCCAACATAAGGAAGAAAATTAATAATACCGAAGCCAGCACTCTACCATTACGTTTTTCAACTGAAACGCTATGGTAAAACTGGTGTCAGCTTTGTAAACCGTAGCAACCGAATGTTTGCTCACAATTCCATAACGATCAACAACCAATGGATGGTTTCAGTCTGTGTTACATTTGAACTAGTAAATTGTAGGCCAAAAAAGCAGCCAACTAAAACAACGGGGGTGGGGTGTAACACGTTTGATAGGTAAGAGACAAGGTTTCATAAAATGCAAGTTAACTTCAAAAGTGGAAACCTTAAAAAAACTCTTAACTACCGGTAAAAGTTCGGTTTTTAAATAATAAAGAACTTTATCCGCGTTACACACTTTATGCAAGTTTCATCAGATCTAAAAACTTAATTAACTGTACAAAATTTTAAGAAAATCACAAGAGCGTTTGTTAAAAATTAGAAGCTACATCCTCGTTTAAACGTTTTACTCTGATATAATGTTAAGAAATTATGAGTGAAAATAAAGAAGAATATGCTATAATATGTCAAACACACTACATCTGCAATACCCAATGCCAAAGAGGCCTTTCGCCCAATACCACGGTTCATCAGGCCGGCTGGGATACAACATAGTAGTGGTCTAGGAGTAATTTATAACATAAACAATAATGAATTTAACAATTGTTAAAGTGCGAACTAGATTAAGTAAGTGGATTTGTAATTATTGTTTGTTTGTTTGTTTTGGAATTTCGCGCAAAGCTACACGAGGGCTATCTGTGCT